ATGTGAGTCTTTTCGTGATGAGCTTGCTAGTCGCTTTCTCTGGCTACCACCAAATTAAGATGCATTTGGAAGATGCTGAGAAGACCGCCTTCATTACTGTCGAAGAAGTTTTTTTGTTATAATGTAACGTCATTTGGGCTTAAAAATGCTAAGACAACGTACCAGCATTTAATGGATATATTTTTTGCTAATCAAAAAGAAAAAATATTGAGGTTAGCATGGATGATTTCCTTGCGAAAAGCCGATGGCAAAACACATAAAAATCTAAAAGAAAATTTACAAACTTTAAGAAAATATAATATGAAATTGAACCCTCTGAAATGTTTAGAGCCTCAACCGGCAAGTTTCTGAGTTATATCCAAACTCCATAAGGAATAAAAGCGAACCAAGACAAAATTCAGACACTAATTGACATGTCGGCCCCCAGAAGTACCCGGAAGGTTCAGAAGTGAATCGGTCGAATCGCAGCTCTTAGCAGGTTCATCTCAAAGTCGAAGGACAAACACGTTGCATTCTTTAAAATCCTCAGAAAAGCCGAAAGTTTCAAGTGGGAAGATGAGTGTCAACAAGATTTCCAAAATCTAAAGGACCCTCTAGCTTCACCACCACATCTCCAAAACCCGAATCCAAACGAAGATCTCTCACTATACCTGGGAGTGGGAGCTAAAGCAATCAGCTCGGTGCTGGTTAGAGAAGAATCGGGAAAACAATTCTCGGTCTACTATATTAGTTGCGTTCTCTGGGGAGCAGAAGTCAGGTACCCAATTATGGAGAAATTAACATTTGATTTGATTGTGTCGGCTCGCAGGTTGAGACTCTATTTCCAAACGCATTTCATCCAGGTGATTTCGGATCAACCGCTGAATTCGGTGCTTACCTGGTTAAAACACTCTGGCCTGCCACTCAAATGAACTGTGGAGCTGAGAGAAATTGAAATCACATACGTCCCCAGAACAACTATCAAGTGCAAGCGGTCGCAGACTTCCTAACAGATTTTCAGAGCAGAAAAGCCCAAGTGAAGAAGATTCAACTGATTGGCAACAGTGGATCCTATATGTGGACAACACTTCAAACAAAACTGGAGCAGGTTAAGGGTTGCTTTAAGCAGCCGCTTAAGAGAACACTTGTAACACTCAGTGGTGTTGGAGTTCGAGGT